ATGCATATTACAATCACTGGTTACAATCCTGTGCATATTACAATCACTGGTTACAATCATGTGCATGTTACAATCACTGGTTACAGTCATGTGCATATTACAATCACTGTTACAATCATGTGCATATTACAATCACTGGTTACAATCATATACATATTACAATCACTGGTAACAGTCATGTGCATATTACAATCACCGGTTACAATCATATGCATATTACAATCACTGGTTACAATCATGTGCATATTACAATCACTGGTTACAGTCATGTGCATATTACAATCACTGGTTACAATCATGTGCATGTTACAATCACGTGCATGTTACAATCACTTGTTACAGTCATGTGCATATTACAATCACTGGTTACAATCATGATCATGTTACAAGCACTGGTTACAATAATATGCATATTACAATCGCTGGTTACAATCATATGCATATTACAATCACTGGTTACAGTCATGTGCATATTACAATCACTGGTTACAGTCATGTGCATATTACAATCACTGGTTACAACCTGTGCATATTACAATCACTGTTACAATCATGTGTATATTACAATCACTGGTTACAATCATATACATATTACAATCACTGGTTACAGTCATGTGCATATTACAATCACTGGTTACAATCATGTGCATATTACAATCACTGGTTACAATCACGTGCATATTACAATCACTGGTTACAATCCTGTGCATATTACAATCACTGGTTACAGTCATGTGCATATTACAATCACTGGTTACAATCATGTGCATGTTACAATCACTGGTTACAATCATGTGCATGTTACAATCACTGGTTACAGTCATGTGCATATTACAATCACTGGTTACAGTCATGTGCATATTACAATCACTGGTTACAGTCATGTGCATATTACAATCACTGGTTACAGTCATGTGCATATTACAATCACTGGTTACAATTATATGCATATTACATTTGCTGGTTCCAATCATGTACATATTACAATCACTGGTTACAATCATGTGCATATTACATTCGCAGGGTACAATCATGTGCATATTACAATCACTGGTTACAGTCATGTGCATGTTACAATCATGTGCCGATTATAATCACTGGTTACAATCGTGCATATTACATTCGCTGGTTAAAATCATGTGCATATTACAATCACTGGTTACAGTCATGTTCATATTACAATCACTTGTTACAGCCATGTGCATATTACAATCACTGGTTACAGTCATGTGCATGTTACAAGCATGTGCCGATTACAATCACTGGTTACAATCAAGTGCATATTACAATCACTGGTTACAATCAAGTGCATATTACAATCACTGGTTACAATCATGTGCATATTACAATTGCTGGTTAAAATCATGTGCACATTACAATCACTGGTTACAGTCATGTTCATATTACAATCACTTGTTACAGCCATGTGCATATTACAATCACTGGTTACAATCATGTGCATGTTACAATCATGTGCCGATTACAATCACTGGTTGCAATCATGTGCATATTACAATCACTGGTTAAAATCATGTGCATATTACAATCACTGGTTACAGTCATGTGCATGTTACAATCATGTGCCGATTACAATCATTGGTTACAATCATGTGCATATTACAATCACTGGTTACAATCATGTGCATCTTGCAATCGCTGGTTAAAATCATGTGCATATTACAATCACTGGTTACAGTCATGTGCATATTACAATCACTGGTTGCAATCATGTGCATATTACAATCACTGGTTAAAATCATGTGCATATTACAATCACTGGTTACAGTTATGTGCATGTTACAATCATGTGCCGATTACAATCATTGGTTACAATCATGTGCATATTAC